AATCAATCTGTGCTGTAAATCTAAAAATCTGAAACCTGGGTTTTGTTGTTATTGTTGTTGTTATATTGTCTGACTATAAGAAAAGTTATTTTAAGGCACTCATAGAAGCTCTCTGGCAATGTCTTGTTCCAGTAGTTAAATCCCCAAGTTGGGTATTTTCTTGTTAAGCAAATTAACATGATCATCAGTGACTAGCTCTCTCCATAGCCCCCGTGGCTCTCAATTCCATTGTAACATCTTTAGTTTTGTTAGTCTTCTTCACTGTGACAGAAAACTTGGGGAAAGACTTATTTTGGCTCCTAGTTTGCGTCATTGCAGTCCATGATCATCTCCATTGCTTTCACACTCCCAAGTGGGGCAGAGCAGCACGGCAGGAAGTGAATGGCCGGATTAAGCCGCTCATCTCACAGCAGCCAGAAGCAGGACAGACAGAGGCAGAGACAGAAGGAGGGGTCCGGTACACAGTATATCTTTCCAGGACAAACTCCTTGTGATCTGCTTGCCCCAACTAGGCCCCTCCCCCAAAATGCTGTCTTATTATACATCCACCAAGGGATTAATCCACTGATTGGGTCAGAATCTTCAGACTTAGTCACTCCCTAAAAGGCTACAAAGCTGGCAACCAACGTATGTGCCTTTTGGACAATGTCACTCTTTGCCTCCATCTCTCTCCCAGTTTTTCCCTCCCATCCCCACCCACAAGTTATATAGTTCAGAGTGTCTAGTGGGAGCCACTGTCGCATTAGTTCACCCTTTGACCCTCCATTTCTGTGCCTCCCTTGCCCTCCCAAAGACACATGCACCTTTTGGGAGACCCTTCATATCAAAACCAGAACATTAATATTAGTCATATGGTATCCCAAAGTACTTCACTTTAGGTAACTAGAAGTTGATAATGTAATAAACTCTCTTGCCATGAGTGACTAAGGAGTAGGAATAAAACCAAATTACAAGTCGAATGCTACTAATCCGAACTCTTAAAATCTGGAGACTTTGGCGCTAGGCATGATGGCGCATATCTGTAAGTCCTATGCTATACAGGAAGCTGAGGCAGGAGGATTGCTTGAGTTCAAGAGTTCCACAACAGTCTGGGAAACATAGTGACAGCCCATTCCAATCTCAATAAAAAAATCTGAAACTTTTTGGATACTGACATGACACCACACAAGCAACATTCTACACCTGACCTCATATAATGGGTCAGAATACTGGGGCACTAAAAATATTGTATAAAATTACTTTCAGGCTATGTGAATATGATGTATAAGAGGCACAAATGAATGGACTTGGGTCTCCTTCCCTAGATTCCTCATCCTATAAATACAAACATCCCCAAATCTGAAACAAATTCTAAATCTGAAATATTTCTGGCCTTAAGCATTTTGGATAACAGAGATTCAACCTGAACTCTCAAATCTAACCCTTAGGTCAGATTTCTAACTGTGAATTTCTAGTTACTACAGTTACTTCTAGAACCAAATATTTTATTAGACAAGGCTAGATCAAGAGAAAATTGTTTATGTACTTGTGAAAAAAACAAGCTACCTCTTTTTTCCTCTACTCTGACACCACTACTTCTACGTCTGTGACTTCAGACATGTGTAAATTAGTCCCCACCAACAAGCAAGCAATGCTGTATCCATGGACGTCATATGAGCATCCTCTTAAAAAAAAAAATTCAATTCTGGAGGAGGTGCCCGTAGCTCACAACTATAATCCTGCCTAGTCAGGAAGCTGAGATCTGAGAATAAGCATTTGAAGCCGGAGATAGCATCAGATGCCACAGATTGGAGGCTCAGTCCCTAAGAATGTTCTCACTTCAGACCCAGTATAGGCCTGCAGAACTTACAATCAATCAGACATGAATTGAGAGGTTCATATGGCCCACTTCTCAGGCTTGATTAATTTCCTAGAGTAGCTCCTAGGACTCAGGAAAACACTGTATTTGTGTTTGTGTGTCACCAAGTTCATTTTTTTAAGTTTTTTATTGTGAAAATACCATACAGAGGGGTTACAATTACATGGGCAAGGTAATGAGTACATTTCTTATCAAGCATTGTTGCCTCCTCCTTCGTTTCCCCTTCCAATCCCTTCCCATCTCCCTCACTCTGTCCACCCCACCCCCCGCCCCCCCACCCCCCACCCCCTCTACCCCCCACCCCCAGCCAAAGTTGTAAAGTTCATTTTTCAACATAACGACTTGTATATCTCATTGTTGCAATGGGTCCACCTGTATCCCTATTTAAACGATTTGTTTTTTCCCTTCCCCTCCACAAATTATACCAACATCAAAGACAATGAAAGCAGGGGTTATACAGTGGGGAGGGACATACAAAGCAACAAAGAAATCATCTTATAAATATGTTAGAAAAAATCGCAAGAAAGAAAAAACATTTGAATACTTACCTTGGGGTTCATTTCACCTAACATCAACTTATCTGACCTTTTCTGCTTGTCTCAAACATACACTAGTTACCAAGGTCATTTTAATGGATTACAATAAGCAGCCAGGAAGAGCTTCATAGGGTGAGGTTGGAAAGGCCTTGAGTGCAGGGGCTTCCACCTCCATAGCTGGAATGCACTAGCCTCCCAGCACATGGATGAGTTTTAATTCACCCTTCTGCAAGTCCTTTGGTATGGGGCTGTCCTGAGGCTCCTGGCCCTGACCCCTCGTGTTTTTTGTTTTGGTTTGGTTTGGTTGGTAATGAGGCTTGAACTCAGGGCCTGGGCACTGTCCCTGGCTCAAGGCTAGTTCTCTATGACTTTGAGCCATAACACCCCTTCTGGTTATTGAGTGGTTAACTGGAGATAAGAGCCTCATGGGGACTTTTCTGCCCAGGCTGACTTTGAACTGTGATCCTTAGATCTCAGCCTCCTGAGTAGCTAGGATTATAGGCGTGAGCCACCAGTACCTGGCTTGCCCAATTTTTATATGGAGACTTCATTGTATAGGCATGATTGCTAATAGTGGGGAGACACAGCAAGTTCAGGGTCCTCATGGCCTCTCTGTGTAACATGCTCCCCTCCAAGGTACATGGCAGGACCCCTTCTGGAATGAGGAGGGTCTTATGTGCCATTTATCGGAAAAGATAAGTCTGAGAATTTTCCTCCCTTCCTTCCTTCTTTCCTTCCTTCCTTCCTTCCTTCCTTCCCTTCCTTCCTTCTTTCCTTCCTTCCTTCCTTCCTTCCTTCCCTTCCTTCCTTCTTTCCTTCCTTCCTTCCTTCCTTCCTTCCCTTCCTTCCTTCTTTCCTTCCTTCCTTCCTTCCTTCCTTCCTTCCTTCCTTCCTTCCTTCCTTCCTTCCTTCCCTCTTTCCTTTTTAAAGGTACTGGGGTTTTGAACTTGAGGCTTTATGCTTACTAGGTTGGCATAATGTTATTGTGCCAGCCCTATTTTTCATTGGTTATTTTTAGGAGAGGGTCTCATTTCTCCTTCAGCCATGTGCCTGAGCCACAACCCATCTACTTTAGACTTCCTTTGGTCCATGGGATCAAGGTGCCTGCCATGATGTCTAGCTTCCCTCCATGGAGGCAGAGTCTTACAGACTTTTCTGCCCAGGCTGCCAAGAACCAGATTCCTCTATTTCAGCCTCCCATGTAGCTTTAGAGGATATACACATGCCCCTGTGCCCATATGTGAGTTAGTAAAGGGGATCAACTGAGCTTTTCTATTCAGAATGACCTGTTCTCAGCCTTTCAGCTGGGCACAGGGCCCAGCTCAGAGAATTCCCTTAAAAAATAATTAACTAATTAATTTGCTAGTACTGAGACTTGAACTCAGGACCTTGAGTTCTCTTGAGACTTTTTTGCCCAATACCTACCACTTAAGCCATACATTCAGCCTGGCTTTTTGCTTGTTAATTGGAGATGATGTTTCAAGGACTTTTTCCCCCTTTATGAGCCAGCTGTTGGTGATTCACCACTGTAATCCTAGCTACTCAGTTGGCTGATACCTAATGATTAATGAGAAAGGCCAGGCAGAAAACTCCATGAGATGCTTACCTCCAATTAATTGCCGGAAAGCTGGAAGTGGTGCTGTGGCTCAAGTAGTAGAGCACTCGCCTTGAGCAAAAAAACTGAGGGATATCACCCAAATCCCTGAGCTCACCCAAATCCAAGCAACTTGATAAGCATGAAAAACAAATTCTTTTGTGACTAGCTAAAAACAGGATAAAATTAAGAGTTTCTGTATCCACCTAAGGGAAGGAGTTAAAAACTAGAAACTGGCCAGGCACCGGTGGCTCACCCCTGTAATCCTAGCTACTAAGGAGGCTGAAATCTGAGGATCATGGTTCAAAGCCAGCCTGAGCACAAAAGTCCAAGAGAGTCTTATCTACGATAAACCACTCAGAAAACCAGAAGTGGTGCGTAGCTCAAGTGGTAGAGTGCTAGCCTTGAGCTGAAGAGCTGAGGGACAGCGCCCAGGCCCAGAGTTCAAGCCTCAAGACTGACAAAAACAAAAACCAAAAACCCTAGGAAAAAAACCCTAGAAAAAAGCCAGAAATTATATAAGATCACAACACTTCAACCAGAATGGGTTTTAACATAGCAAGTTGGATATTTACAAGTCATATAGGAAGGGGCTGGGAAGGTAGCTAGTGGTAGAGTTCTTGCCTTATATGCATGAGGCCCTGGGTTCAATTCCTCAGCATCACATAAGCAGAAAAAGCCAGAAGTGGCACTATGGCTCAAGTGGTAGAACACTAGCCTTGAGCTGAAGAACTGAGGGACAGCACCCAGGCCCAGAGTTCAGGCCCCACAACCAGCAAAATAAATAAATAAATAAATAATACACACAAGTCATATAGGAAAACCAAGAGGAAAAGCCTCACCAAGCAGCGGCTGGCTTCCAGGAACTCAACAAGTGATGCTGTGATCTCAGCAGCTGAGATGACTGTAAGCATTTTTCAATTGGCAGAACAACTCTGCCAATTCACATTCCTCCAACATCATACCTTTTATCAGTGCAGTGTTTTCTTGTTTAAAGGTATGTATTTTTCAGACTGTCAAGAGCAACCTGTTACTGTCAGAGAGGCTGACTGAGTCACAGCAGGAGAAGGAAGCCCTCTGGGAAGCACTTGGGAGGTTTTTTGAGCAACTTGGTGAGCATGTAAGGTAAAGTGACACCCGTTCTCTTTGGAAGAAAAGTCTGAGAGGGCTGGGAATGTGGCTCAATGGTAAAGTGCTTGCCTTGCATACATGAAGCCCTAGGTTTAGATTCTTTAGTACCACATACACAGAAAAAGCCAGAAGTAGCACTGTGACTCAAGTGGTAGAACGCCAGCCCTAAGCACAGAGGGGCTCAGGAACAGTGCCCAGGCCCTAAGTTCAAACCCCAAGACCAACAAAAAATGAAAAAGAAAGAGAGAGAGAGAGAGCAAAGAAAGAAAAAGAAAGAATGAAAGAAAGAAAAGAGAGGAAGGAAGGGAGGAAAAAAGAGAAAAAGAAAAAAGAGGAAGGGAGGAAGGAAGGGAAGGGAAAGAGAAAAAGAAAGAAGGAAGGAAGGAAGGGAGAGAGAAAGAAAGAAAGATGGAAGGAAGGAAGGGAGAGAGAAAGAAAGAAAGGAAGGAAGGGGGAGAGAGAAAAAGAAAGAAAGAAAAAAAGAGAAAAGTTTATAAAGCAACTGTTCCTGACTGGGCCAGCCCCAGGTGAAGCAATGAGATGTTCACTGAAGCAACCTTTCTAGAAGTTCCATCCACAAGGCTTTTCCTAGGAAGATGTGGGGCCTAGTTTCTTCCCAAGAGGGAGGGAGAAGGAATTTAAGCTTCTGTTGAGCTCTGCTCGAGTGTAGCTTGTTTTTCTCCAAATAAACCTTTCTCACAGCCTTCAGCCTATGTCTCCCTCACATTCAGTCCTCATCTTGGACCACTCTCTCTCTTCATTTCAGTTAATAATTCCTAGACTAGGAATTCTGCATTAAAAACCCTTTCTCTGTGTCTCTGTCTCTGTCTCTGTTTCTCTCCCTCTCCCCCCTCTCTCTCTCTCTCTCTCTCTCTCTCTCTCTCTCTCTCTCACACACACACACACACACACACACACACCTGAGCCTGGCAAGGTGCTCATTCTTCAAAACCCCATATCAGCACAAAAAATAAAAACAAAAAAGTGAACAATCATATGACTTTTAGTTATTCATTCATCACCCCAACCTATTTTATAGCATTTTGTCCCTTCAAAAAGAAACCTTCTCTCTGGTTTCCCTTCCTTTGTATTTCTTAATGGTTAATGATGTTAGGCATCTTTTTATGTGTTTATGGACAGTAATAGATTTGTGTCAGAATCAGAACAAGACTTCTGAGGCCATGGAGTCCCTATATAGAATTGGCATTAAAAGTCCATACTCAATATAATCCCACTGATCTGGAAATGAGACAAGATTTAAGTTACATTGAAGATATACCCAGGGTTGTATCACTGTTCAAAAGTGTTCCTAGAGCTGGGAATGTGGCTTAGGGGTAGAGTGTTTGTCTCACACGCATGAAGCCCTGGGTTCAATTCCTCAGTGCCACATATGCTGTGGCTCAAGCAGTAGAATGCTAACCTTGAGCAAAAGAAGTTCAGGGACGGTGTTCAGGCCCTGAATTCAAGCCTCAGGACTGGCAAAAAAAAGTATACTTAGGAAGTAGGAAATTTTAGATTAATGACCTAATCAGTGGAGCAGGACTCAGTATTTAGATGTTGGGGACCAGAAGTCGAAGATTTTCCTAAATTGAACTCAGATGTCAAAAGAGGACCACTACCATCAGTTGAAACCAGGGCCAGCCAGTAACTTGACTCCATGGGGAGGAGTAGTGCTGTTGTTATGTGATCTTTGGTTCACCTCCCACATAGGGCAAGGAAGATGTGCAGTAGGACAGGTGCCCACATTCAGTGCCAGGCCCATCATCCTAGTTAGAGAGCCATGGAAAGGTGCATGTGAAGGAGGTAAAATTGATTTTAACTGTGTTCAGACCTCAGTATAACTCAGATTTACTTTTGTAGAAACAACAATGAGAAGCAAAACCACCACAGAGCAAGGCTTCGAAAGGTGAAGGATCATTACACTCATGAAGTAGAAATACGAAATAGGAAAATTAAACAACTTGAAGATGAAACTGGAAAACTGCAGCAAAAGATTGAAATGGTGAGAAAAATATAAAAGGGCACTGTTGGTGCTGGTGGAGAAAGCCCACTCATTATCTTTGGCTCTACATAGCCCTTGTTTCCATTTCTGTTATTTAATGTGAGGAGTTCATTAAGCCCACCAGAGTATAAGATACATAGCGTTCCTAACCCAAACTGGACACTTAAAAAAGTCTGCACTAGAGGCTGGGAAGGTGGCTCAGTGGTAGAGCGCTTGCCTTGCATGCTCGAGGCCCTGGGTTCAATTCCTCAGCACCACATAAGCAGAAAAAAAAAAGCCAGAAGTGGCGCTGTGGCTCAAGTGGTAGAGTGCTAGCCTTGAGCTGAAGAGCTGAGGGACAGCGCCCAGGCCCAGAGTTCAGGCCCCACGACCGGACCCAAAAACAAAACAAAAAAAAAAAGTCTGCACTGCCAATTCACATCTTGCTTTCGAATGAAAACGACCTTGTTCAACACTCCTCAGCAGAGGCTTCCAAACCACCCTCAGTAGCCCATTCCTGCTTTATGTGTCTCTCATTCTGCCTCAAACATCAGTGTCCATTTTTATGTATTATTTGTTTTTAGTTTCTAAATCAGGGTCTTTAGCTCGAGCTGGCCTCAAACTCACTGTCTAGTCCAAATTGGAAGGTCTTTATTTCTTTCTTTGTCTTATTGTCCTTAAATACTTGTTCAAAAGGGTAGGACTTTTTTCTTTTTGGTTAGTACTAGGGTGTGAACTCAGAGCTTTGTGTTTTCTTTTTTTCTTTTTTTTTTTTTTTTGGGTCCGGTCGTGGGGCCTGAACTCTGTCCCTCAGCTCTTCAGTTCCAGGCTAGCGCGCTACCACTTGAGCCACAGCGCCACTTCCAGCTTTTATCTTTTTGCTTATGTGGTGCTGAGGAATCGAACCCAGGGCCTCAGGCATGCAAGGCAAGTGCTCTACCACTGAGCCACCTTCCCAGCCCCGAGCTTTGTGTTTTCTAGGCAGGTGCTTGTTAGTTTTTAAATGGCTAAGTCAACAGGTAATCCTTAATTCTTTGCCAATTCTCAGCCTGGGCGCTGCCCCTGAGCTCTTCAACCCAAGGCAAGCGCTCTACCACTTGAGCCACAGTGCCACTTCAAGTTTTCTGGTGGTTTACTGGAGATAAGAGTGGACATTCCCGCCTGGGCTGGCTTTGAACCCTGATCCTCAGATCTCAGCATCCTTAGGATTACAGGTGTGGGCCACCAGTGCCTAGCACCAATTCTGACTCTTTTTCCCTGATATCTTTGTTTGTCTTACTGCTCTTGTGAATCACTGATGTATGTATAAAAATGAAATGGGACCAATGAATGGAACCTTGTACAGAATGGTTTTAATATCCTAAAATTATGTAAATTATTACGGAGGACAACTTTATAATATTCCTCCTTGATGGGATTTCTAGCCCTCATGCTTTACACCTAAGAATTGTCTTATTTCCCCTCTCTATATGCCAAGGCTGCCAGTAGATGAATATAATGTCCGCCATTCCACCCACTATCATGGGATTGCAGGTCTAGAAGTCTAGACTACACACAGTAAGATATTTAAAGACAGTGACAGATTACTCATGAAGATTGCATTCTTCAATGGACCAATAAAATGTTAGACTGAAGGCATGGCTCAAGTAGTAGAACACTTACTAAAAGCAAGAAGGCCATGCAAGATTGTGAGACCTGAATTCAAACCCCAGTACTAGCATCAAAATAAACAAACAAAAACCTCTTGATAGCCGGGCGCTGGTGGCTCACGCCTGTAATCCTAGCTACTCAGGAGGCTGAGATCTGAGGATCACGGTTCAAAGCCAGCCCAGGCAAGAGAGACTGTGAGACTCCTATCTCCAATAAACCACCAGAAAACCGGAAGTGGCGCTGTAGCTCAAGTGGTAGAGCGCTCACCTTGAGCTGAAGAGCTGAGGGACAGCGCCCAGGCCCAGAGTTCAAGCCCCACGACCCACGACCGTCAAAAAAAAAAAAAACAACCTCTTGATATTCTAAACTCTAGTGAGAGAGGAAAATAAATAGGATTCATCAAACTTCTAAGTAGTCAGATCCAGCTTGGATGTTTAAGCACCAGACAAGTATACAGAAAAAAATAGCATCCTGGTTCATAGGTCCACTAGGAATATCAATCTATCTTTGCACTACCAATTCTTTCTTGTATCACCTATCGTTTGCCTCTAGGCTTACGTGCAAGATCAATCTCTTGCTTTTAGTAAGTACATTTCCTTTAGTAAGTACATATCCCCCAAAATTCATGTTCGCCCAGAACCTCAAAATGTGGCTTTGTTTGGAAATAGGATATTTGCAGATGGAATTATTTAAAACAAGGACATCCCGGTGTCTTTATAAAAAGAGACGAAGACACAGACAAATACAAGGAAGAATACTTTGTGCTGTTGGAGGCAGAGATTAGAATGATGCAGTAAAGCTAAGGGATATGAGGATAGCTAGCAACCATGAAGCACTACAAGACAGGCTTGGAACGGAATCTCCCTCTGAGGAAGTAGCTCATCAGGGGAGTACTTGCCTAATGTACACAAGCCCTGGGTTCAATTCTTCAGTGTCAAAAGAGGGGTAAAACCTCCTTCTGAGCCTCCAGGGGAAAAAAAACTAACCTTGACAACTGCTTCATTTTAGATTTCTAGCTCCTAGAACTATGTTTCTGTTGTTTCAAATCACTTTGTAGTAATTTATACACCAGCCCAAGGAAACCAATGCATTGACTGAAAGCATCACAGATCTCTAGGAAATATACTGAAGACTGAAAATATCCAGACGCAAAGGAGGAGATTTGATGTTTTTGCTTGCTGACACTGAAAGGTTTCTGGGCTTTTCAATTAGCCAACTTGGATTCAAATTCTAGCCCTGAGACATACTCTTGTGTTCTTAGACAAGTCTCTGTATATTTCCTCCTCTGCAAAAAGGAAACAAAACAAAACAATTTCCACTTCACATACCAGGCTTTTATGAGGCTCAAAACATAGCTTCTCTAAGATGGTACAGATAAAGTTTTCATAGATCTTTTTTCTCCTTGATATATAGAGAGAGAGAAGAGAGAGAGATAGAGAAAGAGAGAGAGAGAAAGAAAGATATTAACTGGTGAATGTAAAGTTCACAAAATAAAATATTAGCAGAATTAGAAATGCTAAACCTAGAAAAGGCTGATGTGAGAGCTTACTGTTGTTGTGTTGTTGTTGCTTTGTCAGTCATGGGGCTTGAACTCAGGGCCTGGGCATTGTCCCTGAGCTCTTTTGCTCAAGGCTAGTGATCTACCACTTTGAGCCACAGTGCCATTTCTGGTTTTCTGGTGATTAATTGGAGATGAGTCTCATGGACTTTCCTGCCCAGGCTGGCTTTGAACCACAACGCTTAGATATCAGCCTCCTGAGTAGCTAGGATAACAGGTGTGAGCCACTAGTGCCCAGTGATACAAGAGCTTTTAATGTCACAGTGCAACAAATCTGGGCATTCATAAAGAATTACAGTGTCCATAAAAGGTGCAAACAGATTAGAGGACATGAAAGTGAGAGTAAAGAATATTACTGTAAGAGTTTAGAAATAAGCTGAGGGTCCTAAGTGTATAATTCTTTCTCTTTTGTGTCATTTCCTAGGAAAAGGCATTCCAGGGCCAGATCATGGCCCAGAATGATACTCTGCTTCTAGAAAAAAGGAAGCTTCTGGAACAAGTCACAAATCAAGAAGAACTGATCCTCAGCAACAAATCCATAATCTCTTCAACCCAGAACAAGTAGGTGCAGTCCTGCCTGGGAGCCAATGAACTCCACCAAAAGGATGCTTCTCTGTCCACAAAGAAATGGTTCCAGAGTCTGTCCTTTTGATCTGTGGTCTGTCTTTATGGCTGTTGTTCTTGCTATCTGTGATTTCATGAAGATCATGCAAGTGGTGAAAGGTGGCACTGGAGGGAGGCAGGCAAGCCATGCAGATAATCTCGGTTGTAGCCGTGTTTCCTCGCTGAGGCCCCAGCTGTGCACATTCTAACTAGCCAGTCACTTCCTCTACGTGCTGTCACCCCACTTTATCATTTGCTATCTGAGGAATCAACGTAGACCCAAGAATAAAGTTCACAGACATCGCTTACATTCATGAGACCCCTCAGGATTTCATTACGTTAATTTTTAAAGAGAAGCATTCAAAGCAGATAAGAATTTAGATACTGAGCAGTCTTTGTTCCATATGAAACTTTGATTATAACTGACGTTTCCTAGAAGAGAATAAGGACAAAGAGACTAGGTTGATGTTAACAGATAACGTCACCAACAATGAGGATAATGACCAACATTATTTGAGCACCATTGCGGGCTGTTCTCTCTATTCATTTCATCCTGACACCAGCCTCAAGAGGTAGCAACTATGACTAGCCTTAGTTTATGGGTAAGGAAGCCAAAGATCCAAAAAGAATAGGGAAGCTGACCACTGACTCAGTCTGGTTAGTGGCCAAGTAGCACGTCATCTCAGCAACCTAGTCCCAGATCACAGCATGATACCTGTTGGCTACTCTGGACACATTCTCCTCTGGCCATACCTGGAAAGTCTCTCTTTTTCACTTGGGGTTTACTTTTCCTTTTTTATACATCCCACATCAAACACTGCCTTTCTCAAATGGTGTCATAGTTTCTGATGGTCACATTGTGGATGAGGAATCTAAGGTTCAGATCTGTAATTTGCTCAGGATCACACAATTAGTATAATTAGCAGTTGACAGTTTGGTGGCAGGACCAGAACTCAAACACAAATCCCTTATCCAAATTAATGTCATACCTTCCAAATAAACTGTGGCCTTGAATAGGTGGTTAGAACTAAAGCTTAGGAGCCGGGCGCTGGTGGCTCACGCCTGTAATCCTAGCTACTCTGGAGGCTGAGATCTGAGGGTCGCAGTTCAAAGCCAGCCCGGGCAGGAGAGACCATGAGACTCTTATCTCCAATAAACCACCAGAAAACCGGAAGTGGCGCTGTAGCTCAAGTGGTAGAGCGCTCGCCTTGAGCTGAAGAGCTGAGGGACAGCGCCCAGGCCGAGTTCAAGCCCCACGACTGACAAAAAAAAAAAAAAAAAAAAGAACTAAAGCTTAGGGATGGGTCTGGGGTTCGGAGTAGAGTTCTAGTCTAGCCTTCATGAAGCCCTGGTTCAACCTTCAGTACCAAGAAGAAGTAGAAAAAAACAGGCTCAGAAATCTTTAAAGATCTGGTTTGGCATAGCAGTTTTATAAATTTCTATTTTTATGTTCATTTTTCAAGGGAAAGGAAATTCATTTGGGCTCATTGTTTTCCGATATTTCAGCCCATCATCATTGGGAGGCCTGGTGGCTAAGAAGCAGAAGCTCTGTGTGCGTGCATGCGTGCGTGCATGCGTGCGTGCGTGTGTGTGTGTGCGTGTGTGTGTGTGTGTGTGTGTGTGTGTGTGTGTGTGTGCTTGAACTCTGGGGCTTGAACTCCTCCACGCTGGTGTTCTACAACGTTAGCCATACCTCTGCTTCCCACGTTTTGCTGGTTAATTGGAGATAAGAGTTTTACAGGCTGCCACAATTCTTAGATCTCAGCCTCCTAAGTAGCTCTGATTACATGCATGAGCCACCAGTGGCTAACTCACAGAATTATTTATGTTCTTGAACATGTTACTTCCTCCTCTATGAGCCTGTATCCTCAACTATAAAACAGGCTTTATAACAGTGCTTATATCACAAGGTTTTTTTGTTTTGTTTTGTTTTTTTGTCGATCCTGGGGCTTGAATTCTGGGCCTGGGCACTATCCTTTAGTTCTTCAGCTCAAGGCCAGCACTCTACCACTTGAGCTACAGTGCCACTTCTGGTTTTTCTGGTGGTTTATTGGAGATAGGAATCTCACGGTCTTTCTTGCCTGGGCTGGCTTTGAACCGCGATCCTCAGATCTCAGCCTCCTGAGTAGCTAGGATTACAGGCGTGAGCCACCAGCGCAGGGCTTCACAAGGTTTTTTGTGAGGATTAAATGAATTACTACATGGAAAGTATGCAGAGTTTACTGTGTGGGTAGTTTGAGTCCAGCGTTCACATGTCAGGTAGTTGATGAGTGTTGGTGGCAGCTGCTGGTACTATTTCTCCTTCTAGGTGAGAAATCAGAACCAGATCAGTGTGAGATCAAAATCTCACACTTTTACACAGTTTATTGTAGAAGCTTATTGAAGAGATAGTCTTTTTTTTTTTTTGTCAGTCTCACCCTAAGTGAGAATCAAAGCCTTCCTGAAGTTTCTCAAGGTCTGGGAATTGTGCCTTTCATACTCATACATGTGTTGTACGGGCCAGAAGCTCACTAATTTTTACTTGGTTGTGGACTATGGTGAGAGTTATTTTGCCATTCTTGGTTCTATGGACTAAGCAGTTTTCTTTTTTTTTTTGTCGGTCGTGGGGCTTAAACTCTGGGCTTAGGCGCTGTCCCTGTGCTCTTCAGCTCAAGGTGAGCGCTCTATCGCTTGAGCCACAACTTCCAGTTTTCTAGTGGTTTATTGGAGATAAGAGTCTCACGGACTGGGCTGGGAAGGTGGCTCAGTGGTAGAGCGCTTGCCTTGCATGCCTGAGGCCCTGGGTTCGATTCCTTAGCACCACATAAGCAAAAAGAAAAAAGCCGGAAGTGGCGCTGTGGCTCAAGTGGTAGAGCACTAGCTTTGAGCTGAAGAGCTGAGGGACAGCGCCCAGGCCCAGAGTTCAGGCCTCACAACCGGACCCAAAAGAAGTGTCTCACGGACTTTCCTGCCTGGGCTGGCTTTGAACCATGATCCTCAGATCTCAGCCTCCTGAGTAGCTAGGATTACAAGTGTGAGCCACTGGTGCCTGGCCGAGTTAAGCAGTTTCTTAAGACCCAGAGTTAGTAGGAAATTGGACAAGGCTTAGGGTTTTTAATAATGGTACAGAAATGTCTAATTATTGGAGCGTGGGCCTCAGTGATAGCATGCATGTGTATTTAGTTACACTTCTCACTTATTCTATTCTTAGGGCATTTTTCCTGGATAAAGAAAATAAACAACTGCAGGAAAATTGTCTCCGGCTAATGCAGCAAGTTGGCCTCTTAGAGCGTATTATAAGGAACATCCAGATTCGTAGAGGAGAGGTAAGATATCTAACCATGATCCTCAGATCTCAGCTAATCTGAAGCTGACTTGCTAAATTTGCCATGCTCTCTCTTCTGTTTATTTCCATGTAGCTGTAGCCCTGCTCTCAGCCTTGCAGTGAGATGGAGTATGCCCCCGCTTTGTACTTCTCTGGGTCAGCTTTTATTAATCACTCCCCTGCTGTGTGATCCCAACACAATTTGTGCCTCCAAGCCTCTTAGCCCACTCTATTGTCATTGCCTTCTTTCTTCTCTGTCTCATTAACTCATCCGTGACACCCTAGTGGACAAGAACTATATAGCTGATACATCACTGTACCTGTGGATAGGTACTCAATAAACACTTGAGAATGAATGGCTGTTACACATTTTCACATACATGCCTCAGTCTCAACAATCCTGTTTATGACATGTCATTCAAGCCCCATTTGGAAAGAAAGCCTCAGCAAATTCGAAGTTCAGAGAAGCAAAGAGAAGCTAGTCTAGTCTGCTAATGAGTCAAAACTAAAGAGAGCATCTGAGTCAGAGAAGAGCAATTATATTCCAAACATTCAGACAGGTAGCCAAGTACAGGGAGATGCAGAAAATAGTACAGGTTCAAACAAGGTCCAGAGTCTGGCTGGTGAGCAAGTCAAAAAGAGGGGCTTCGGTAAGCAGAATTGTGTTCTGAATCCAGGATAAAGGCTGCTTCTTCCTTGCCTGGTCTGTGTCACCTGCAGGGTATTCCATCCATAGACACCTTACGGTAGATCCTCCCTGTCAGGCACTATTGCTTGTAAGGCCTGCTTCTAGTTTGTTCTCAGAAAGGTAATTATTTCCATGATATACAAGTTGCTTTGCAGATTTCATCAAAAGTAGACCTTTTTTCCAATAGTTCAACTTTGTATGAACTACAACTGTTCTTTTTTTGTTATTTTTGTTTTTTTATTAAGTTTTTTTTATTGTGAAAATACCATACAGAGGGGTTACAATTACATGAGCAAGGTAATGAGTACATTTTTTTGGGGGGGTCCAGTCGTGGGGCCTGAACTCTGGGCCTGGGTGCTGTCCCTCAGCTCTTCAGCTCAAGGCTAGCACTCTACCACTTGAGCCACAGCGCCACTTCTGGCTTTTTTCTTTTTGTTTATGTGGTGCTGAGGAATTGAACCCAGGGCCTCAGGCCTGCAAGGCAAGAGCTCTACCACTGAGCCACCTTCCCAGCCCCAATGAGTACATTTCTTATCAAGCATTGTTGCCTCCTCCTTTGTTTCCCCTTCCCATCCCTGCCCTCCCATCTCCCTCGCCCCCCGCCCCCCACCAAAGTTCAACATAAGGTCTTATATAGCTCATTGTTGCAATGGGTCCACCTGTATTCCTATTTAAACAATTTGTTTTTTCCCTTCCCCTCCCCAAATTACACCGACATCAAATTCAGTGAAAACAGGGGTTATACCGTGGGGGAGGGACATACAAAGCAACAAAGAAATCATCTTTTAAATATGTTAGAAACAATAGCAAGAAAGAAAAACCATTTGAGTCCTTATCTTGGGGTTCATTTTGCCTAACATCAACTTATCTGACCATTTCTGCTTGTCTCAGACATATACTAGTTACTGCAAATAAGGGAAACCATGGGACCTATGTCTCTTTGGGCCTGGCTTACTTCACTTAATATAATTTTTTCCAAGTCTTTTCATTTCCTAGCAAATGGGGCAATGTCATTCTTTCTGATGGAGGCATAGTTCTTCATTGTCTAATCATTAACCATCCACTCATTTACTCAATCATTCATTTGGCAAACATTGATCCCAAGAACTAGCCTAGCACCTAGAATACAAAGGAGAATCCCTGTGTCTATACACTTTCATTCCAACAGAGGACAAACACACATATATAAGTTCATTTTTGGGGGAGCGGGGGGTCCAGTTGTGGGGCCTGAACTCTGGGCCTGGGTGCTGTCCCTCAGCTCTTCAGCTCAAGGCTAGAGCTCTACTACTTGAGCCACAGCGCCACTTCCGGCTTTTTTCTTTTTGCTGAGGAGTCGAACCCAGGGCCTCATGCATGCAAGGCAAGTGCTCTACCACTGAGCCACCTTCCCAGCCCACACATATATAAGTTCCATAGAATCACAAGCTTTAGTAGAAGACTTAATGGAGTATATGCTAGGACCAATAGGTACGAGATCCACAATATTACCTTCAAATGAAGATAAGAAATGTCATACTAATCACAACTGTAGTATATCAAACTCAGAATTTTGCATGTCACAAATACTAACTAGTTGGATATGGTGATGCATGCTTAGAATTTAGAGGCAGGAGTATTGACAGTTTGAGACCAGCTTGGTCTACATAGTAAGATTCTGTTTTTAAAAAAAAAACTAGAAAAAATACATAACTTGTAACATCTTAAAACTTATTGAGATAAACAACTCCATTTTTTTTTTTTGCTGTTCCTAGGGCTTGAACCCAGGACCTGGGGCTGTTTCTGAGGCTTATTTTGCTCAAAGTTAGCACTCTATCACTTGAGCCATAGCTCTACTTCTAGCTTTCATTTGGTGGCTAATTGGAAATACGAATCTCACAGACTTTCTTGCATAGCTGGCTTTGAACCATGATCCTCAGATCTCTGCCCCATGATTAACTAAGATTACAAGCATAAGCCACCAGCACCAGGCTCCCAAACTAAATTTAGAATCTTAAAGATCCTCCATTCAGGGCTGGGAAGGTGGCTCAGTAGTAGAGTGCTTGCCTTGCATGCATGAGGCCCTAGGTTCAATTCCTCAGCACCACATAAGCAGAAAAAGCCGGAAGTGGAGCTGAGGCTCAAGTAGTAGAGCACTAGCCTTGAGCTGAATAGCTGAGGGACAGTGCCCAGGCCCAGAGTTCAGGCCCCATGACTGGCAAAAAAAAAAAAAAAAAGATTCTCCAATTCAATCTTATAATCTGCAGTCAGAGTAGGATTTAGAAAAAAAATGTGGCCTGGCATTGGTGGCTCATGCCAGATGCTCAGGGGGCTAGTAGGTTGAGATTTGAGGCTTGCAGTTCAAGGCAGTTCAGACAGAAAAATCTGTGCTCCAGTTAACCACGTGAAAACTGGAAGTGGCACTGTGGCTCAAAATGGTAGAGCGCTATCCTTGAGCAAAAGAGCTTAGGGAGAGGGCCTCTCCCAATTCTTCCTTTCCCTAGAATTTCTCTGAGCTTACTCCTACTGTCCCTTAAAACTCAACTTAAATAATGTCTCTTTCACAGACTTGTTTCTGAATTCTTCCCACTTAAAATTTGACTTGGCTGCTGGATACCCGTGGCTCACGCCTGTAATCCTAGCGACTCAGGAGGCTGAGATCTGAGGATCACAGTTCAAAGCCAGCCCAGGAAGGAAAGTCTGTGAGACTCTTATCTCTAAATAATCACCAGAAAACCAGAAGTGATGCTATGGCTCAAACGGTAGAGTGCTAGCCTTGAATGAAAAAGCTCAGGGCCAGCACCCAGGCCCTGAATTCAAGCTTCATAGCCAACAAAAACTATTATGACTTGATGTCCCTCATTTTATCCTATGTGTCAAATTCTATCTCAGCATTTTATCAGCTGTGTGAAGGCCAATTGTCTTTTCTGAAAAATGAAGTAATGACTTTTTTTTGGGGGGGGGGTCCGGCCATGGGACCTGAACTCTGGGCCTGGGCGCTGTCCCTCAGCTCTTCAGCTCAAGGCTAGCGCTCTACCACTTGAGCCACAGCACCACTTCTGGCTTTTTTCTTTTTGCTTATGTGGTGCTAAGGAATGGAACCCAGGGCCTCAGGCATGCAAGGCAAGCGCTCTACCACTGAGCTACCTTCCCAGCCCTGAAGTAATGACTTTTAAAAGATGGTTACTTCACATAAAAAGTGAAATGTTCATAACAGCATTAGTAACGGTAGCCAAGAGGAATAAGCAACCCAAATGTCTACAACTAATGAATTTAGATAGATAGAGACTACAGAAATGCAATTATGATTTTATCATAAAAAAGAATGAAGTATTGATTTAGCTGAGGCATGGATGATAATATATATATATATATATATATATATATATGTATATATATACCAATTGAAACCAGATGCCGATGGCTCTTACCTCTAATTCTAGTTACTCAAGAGGCTGAAATCTGAGGAATATGGTTCAGAACTAGTCAGGACAGGAAAGTCCCTGAGACTCTTATCTCCAAATAACCACCAAAAAGTCAGAAGTGGAGCTGTGGCGCAAGTGGTACAACATTAGTCTTGAGCACAAAAGCTCATATACAGTGCTCAGTCCCTGAGTTCAAACCTCAGGACTGGCACTATATATTATATCAAGTGCAAGAAGCCAGTCACAAAAGACTGTGTATGATTCTATTGATAGAAACTGTCTAGAGTAGACTACTCTGTAGATGCAGAAAGTAAATTATTGTTTTTCCTGGGCTGTGGTTTGAGGGTAAGTTAGCGTAGTTAAAGGGTGTGGAGTTATAAGATATAATGACAGTGTTCTAAAATTGACTAGGATGACAGTTATACAATTCTACCAATGCCCTAAAGCCATTGAATGCGAACTTAAAATGGGTAGTTTATGTGGTACTTAAACTATATCTCCTTAAACTTATTACAAAATAGTTTTGGTTTTAGTTATGGGGCTTAAACTCTGAGCCTGGACACTATCCCTAAGTTCTTCAGCTCAAGGAGAGTACTATACCATTTGAGCCACAGTGCCACTTCTGGTTTTCTGGTTGTTTATTAGAGATAAGAGTCTCACAGACTTTCCTGCTTGGGCTGGCTTTGAACCACAATCCTAAAATCTCAGCCTCCTGAGTAGCTAGGATTACAGGTGTGAGCCCCAGTGCCCGACTACAAAATAGTTTTTAACAATGGTTGTTAGAAGCCAGGTGCTGGTGGCTCACGCCTGTAATCCTAGCTACTCAGGAGGCTGAGATCTGAGGATTGCGGTTCAAAGCCAGCCCGGGCAAGAGAGACTGTGAGACTCTTATCTCCAATAAACCACCAGAAA